TACTTAATTATCTTTACTTAATTATCAATTTACTTAATTACTTTAAGGCTATTCTCCCACAATTACCAATCCATATGAATTTTATAATCATATTAATAAGTTTCATAAAAAATATTGAGATATTTGAAATTGTTATTCCATTGTTTGCTTTCTGACTCTCATAACTGCTCTTGGGATTCAATTGGAAACAGAACTGTCACTCTTTTATGAATAATCTGCTTTCTCTCTCCAACAGTTTTTCAGAGATCACTCTCCCATTAGGGTGATGTGTTTCACTGTGATTTTTAGGTGTGCATTTCTTTTTATTTTATCTGTTTGAGATTTGTGGTGCTTCCTGATTCTGAAGATTCTTTGTTTAATTCTTCAAAATTCCCACCCACTAACTTTGAAAATATTGCCTTTATTCCTTTTCTTAATTTCCTCTTCTGGAGCTCTTAGATATATGGTAAACCTTCTTATACTATCATTCATGTCTGCTAACAACTCTTTTATAGTTTATATTCCTTTGTCTGCGTAGCATTCTGTGCAATCATATCAGACCTATCTTTTAGTTCAGTCATTGTTTTGTCAATTGTTTTTAGTCTGATGTTTAACTCATCTATTGATTTTAAATTAAATCATCATATTTTTCATCTCTAAAAGTTATTTTTGGTATTTTTTAATCTCCTTGATTAATTTTTGGTAGTTTCTTATTTCTGGATCAACTTTTTCTTTTATTTTCCATCATAGCTGAATGGATAATTTTTAAGCTGTGTGTGTGTGTGTGTGTGTGTGTGTGTGTGTGTGTGTGTGTGTATTAATTTTGGAAAGGTTCTATGCCATGTCTTCAAATTCACTAAACTTCTCTTATGCAGTGTGTATAATCTGCTGTTAATACCATCTAATATATATTTCTTTTCAGATACTGTATTTTTCCTCTCTAGAAGTGCAACTGGGTCTTTTATAGATCTCCCATTTCTCATTATAGTCAGGTTTTCCTCAGCATTATTGAACATATGGAGTATATTTATAATAGCTATTTTAACATTCTTTCATACTAACTCTATAATCTGGATAGATTTTGTTCTGTATCTATTTATTTATTTTCTCCCTGCTTCTTTATTTGCTGATTATTTTGATTGGATACAAACATTGCTGAATGCTAGATTGTGTTACATTCCTGTAAGTATTGTTCGGCTTTTTCCAAATACAGTTCTAGGACAGAAGTATGGTCCTTTCAAGACTTGCTTTTAAGTTTTGTTAGTGTCCAGAATAGACATTATTCTGTGGTTAAGTTGACCTCATTATGGAAGCTATACTCTTTGTAGGATTCTACGCAACCACCTGTGGTGGCTGGTGGGCACATGGATTATTCTTGCCTTTATGTGAGCCTGTGAGATTTTTCCTTCCTACTTGCTTATGGAGTTTTTTCTCCTAACCTTATTAGTTTCCTCACATGTGTGAACAAATTCCAGCACAGCCAAAGACCAGAGAGGGCCCATCTGCAGGACTCTGGAGTTTCCTTTCTGTGAAGCTCCCATGTCTCCTGTGTTATTTCTGCCAATTCTTGCTGCCATGGCCACCCCTAACTAAACCGTCTCCTCAACTCGGAAAACCACGGGGCTCTGTTTGGGTTCTCTTTGCCCTGTGATGTGGCCTCGCCACTCTCTCTCTCTCTCGCGGAAAGTTGAAACATTTTTATGGCTCATACTATTACTGAGATGAGGAATTATTGTCCTGCACTGCATATTATCCATTGTTTCATATATTTTGTTTAGTTTTCTAGTTGTTCAGAGTGGGAGGGTAAACCTTGTCCCTGTTACTTCATCATGGCCAGAGTAAATAACTTTCTAAGAAAATACACTTCTGAAAACTGTTTATGAAAATATAAAAATCTAAACAGACCAATTATGACTAAAGCCCAGAATTATTGCCAGAAGTATGGTCTTTCATCCACCCCCAAAAAAACTATACATCTTGAGGTTCCTGTGGGATGTTCAGGTGGAAATATCCAACACACAGTTAGGTATCAGGGTCAACAGGGTAGTGTCAAGAATGGAAACAAAATTGCAGATCATCAGCATGCATCTTCTTCACATTGCTATGGGAGTATAGGGGAAGGGCATCTAGCCCAGCCCCAGGACTCATGGACAGTTCCTGGAAGAGAGAAGACTTACAATGGGTCTTCAAGGATGGAGTTTCCTGTACTAACAGTGTGTGAAAAAGGAGACTTTCCAGGAAGAGAACATAGCCTTGGTCATGTAGGAGGAGAAGGCACACATGATGGGCTCTATTTAGGCTCTGTAACCTAGAGGTCCCCTTCTAAGGACAACTGTCAACATAAATCTCAACTCATCCTAATTCTGTGCCAACTCCTTCTTGGCCCATGGTAGTTTTAAGCCACTATGAGTTTACTCAATTGATCCTGCAAAGGGCTTCCCCCAAACCTGGTAATGAGAGCCAGTGGGAAAACTTCATTCATGAACAAGACATTGTTTAAAAGTGTATTTGATGCCAAAATCCAGGTATCAGTCAAGATAAGGAGGTCCTGGTCTAGAAGATGCTCTAACCCTTTCTCTTCCTTTATGGTGTTGGAAGCAGGAGGCTGGAAAACAATTAGGGTCAGGACACTGCAGGGTTCAGATTGCACTATGGGAGCAGAGAAAAAGGCAAAGCCTTTGATTGAGACTGGAAGAGAAGTCAGGTTTGAGGATGGTTAAAGGGAGCTGTGATGGGAGGTGAACTTGCAAGATGACAGAGAAGACACTGATCCAGGAATGAAATAAAAGCAAATTCTGCCCCAGGCTCTACCCCCTCAGGGTAAAGGCTCTACCCCACGCTACAGGTAAAGGCTAGAAAGTCACAAGCCTCTGTTCCTCTCTACTCCCTTCCCCTCCCAAGATGACAGGCTGGACTAAACCAGAAACCCAAAATCTCAACTCTGTCCCCAGCACTGTGTGACTTTCTAGACTTTAAGCTTCTCTGAGATTCATTTTAACTCTATAAAATGCTGGTAACAAGAGTGCTGGTTCATAGAAAGTGATCAGAAACATTTTTGTTAAATAAATAAGTGAATTTTTGCACATCCAAAATGGTTCCCACTCTTTGGGAAACCCCATATCATTAAGGACATACTTGGAAACATTTGAGAAAGTCCAAAACATTTTAAAGGATCTAGAGTCATTATGTCTTTGACAAAGGCAGGTGTTTACCTGGTTCTGAATCCCCCTGGAAGGTGCTAATTTCTGGGGCCTCCAGGGGAAACAAAGAGGAGGAGAAAATTCCAAGGTGAAAATGATGTCAGCTGAGTTGTTTGTCTCTTTGTCTATCTGTCCTTTATAAGCTATCCCCTCTGTGGCGGCCACTGGACCAATATGACTGTCCCTTCTCTTTACCCAAGAAGTGCCTGTCCCTTTAGCCAGGTGAGTACCATTCCAACAGCCCTCCCTGCACTCTCACAACTAGCTTTCCTTGCAAGTGAAGTTCACCCCTTGGGCCCTGGAATGGCTTCTCCCTTCCCAAAAAAGATCCAGTGGAACTTGGGTGCTTGGATGTGAGGGGTTAGAGAGCGGGAGGCGTCAGCAATGACTAAGGTGTTGAGCCATACCAACGGGGAAGATGGCAAGGCTGTTGCTAAAATAGTGAAATCAAGAGGATATGGAGATTGAAGAAGGGAAGCTCAGATTTGGAGACTGAGTTTGAGGTTATGGTAAGAACATGTCCATGCAGAAAAGGTGGTTACCTATTGTGGAACTGAGGACATTTAATCATCTTTAGTCATCAGGACATGTCTTCCTGCACTCCTGTCTTGTGCCCTTTGGGGATCTCTAGTCTTTTCCTGTATGAGTTAGGCTCCATGTGGTATAAATATCTATCCCTCAGCCAGAAGTTGAGGTGAATCACTGCATATTTTATTAGTGGGCCACTTTGGAGCTGGGGAGAAGAAAGCATTACTTAAGTGAGTGTGTATGTGGGTGGTTCCTGGCACCTGTAAGAGATGTTGGCTTTATCCAGTCATCAGGCCCATGACAGTGTGTGTGTTGGATGATGTGTAATCAGAGCCAGGAGATGGAAGAGTGGACAGCTCGGTGATGGTGGAATTGGAGGCAGAGGGAAATTCGGGGTCTGGACACCTGCTTACCCAAGACTCTACCTGTGTGAGAGAGTTCAGCTGGGCATCCAGTGAGGCAGGTCTACGGGGGTCCACTGACCCTACCTGGGAGTGTAAGCCTGGAAACTCTCCCTTGTTCAAAAGCTCTTTTTACATTCTTCTTATTCAGTAAAAGCCCTGTTCTTCCAAGCCCTAGATTCCCAGATTCTGTATGGAGAAATGCAATATAATCTTACTATTTAGAAAGTCTAAAAACATGGTGGTCACCAGTGATGGAACTGGAAATGTCCTCAGTGATGTCTCCTCATTCAGTGTCATTGGTTTTCATTTCATTGAATTTTTTCCCATATGTCCAGACCAAGTCTCATGACTTCATGAGTTAATCTTTTCATGGTCTGGGCCAAGGCAGGCATCTCACAATGGCTGACACATATGACAACACATGTATGCAGAGGCTGCAGGGACACAGGTGAGGGGAGCATGCCTCTCCCCTTACCCTGAAGCTTTCCTTTCATCTTCTGGGATCTTGTGTCCCTAAATATGGCCACCTCTGCAGACTTGGGGTTTTCTCCCTGGAACTTTGGCCTCAAGAAAATAATCTTTCCTTTTAACCTTCAAATGTAACATTTGCTCTTCCCCTTCCCCTCCCCCCTTTTTTGACAATTCATCTATCTCTGTTTGAGTCTGCCCAATGCTGCTGTTCTCACCCATTAAGAGTGAGATTTATCAAGGCATTTCCTAGTGTGTCTAAACTTCAACTTTCTTCCCCTTAAATTGTATGTGCCCTTCCATCCTGGGCCTCTCCTGGACATTGCTATCAATACATCATTGATGATTGTCATCAAAATCTCATTCTCCTTTCCATCACCCTGTCCAACATTGCCCGTTCTGCTGCTGGGGGAAGACAGCCATGGATCTGGGAGCCTCGGGGAATGACTCGGTCGTGACTGAGTTTGTTCTGCTGGGCATAACGGATGCTCCAGCTCTACAGCCCATCCTCTTTGTCGTCTTCCTTCTTGCTTATGTAGCTACCATTGGTGGCAATTTCAGCATCCTGGCTGCCATATTTATTGAACCCAAACTCCACACCCCCATGTACTTCTTCTTGGGAAACCTGTCCCTGCTGGAAGTCGGGTGCATCAGCGTCACTGTCCCTGCCATGTTGAGGCATTTTATATCCCAGGACAGAAGCATTCCCTATAGGGCCTGCCTGTCCCAGCTCTTCTTCTTCCACCTCCTGGCCAGGGCAGACTGCTTCTTGCTGACTGTCATGGCCTACGACCGCTACTTAGCTATCTGTCAGCCCCTCACCTACAGCACCCGCATGGGCTGGGGAATCCAGCAAGCCCTGATGGCCATGTCATGCGCCTTTTCCTTCACCAATGCTCTGACCCAAACTGTTGCCTTGTCTACTCTTCAATTCTGTGGCCCCAATGTGATCACTCACTTCTACATCTGCCAGCCCCTTGCAAACCTTTGGCAAATTAGATCAAGAGAGAAAGTGCACAAACACAGGGCACCTGAGAAAGGCAGGGGGCTGAATTTCAACCTGAATTTTAGTTACAAAGCAAGAGACTGTGTAGTGTCTGGCAAGTTCCTTAACATCTTTCAGCACAAACACATCGTCTACAAATTGCAGATAACAACAAGAATCCTGCCTCAGAAGTTGGTTTCATACTTAGAGGAGACAGCATATGTGAAGAACTTAGCACAATGCCTGGCTCACAGAAATTATTGCTATCATAATGTCATTTTAATATCATAAACTTAAACAAATAGAGTAGCAGATCTTAGTCCGGGGTTTGCAGCAGAATTACCTGTGATAATTTTTTAAATTTTCATAGATTCACTATTTTTATTTTTACGGGCAATCTAATTCTCTCATCAGCAGACTCATTTTTATAATTCTCCAGACTATCCTGTTCTCCAGACTCACTGTTAACAAAAATGTGCTTCATAGATGCTTCCAAACATGGGGACTTCTGATTCTATAATCTTTTTTCCCCAACATATTTCTGTTTTTTGTTTCTTCCCATGTGAGTTTCAAGGCTGAGAAAGTCTAACACTGGAAAAATTTTCATCTTTCTGTTTCTTTTTCCTTTTTTATGTCTTATGAATAAGATTCTATATTCAATGGTTAGTTTGGGCAACACAGTAAATTAAATTACTCCCCCCAAAAAAGGGCTGTTTTAGTTAGAGTTCCCCTAGAAGCAACCCCTGAGACATGGATTTTTCTTTTATTTCGGCATATTATGGGGTTACAAATGTTTAGGTTACATGTGTTGCCTTTCCCTCCTTCCCCACCCCCCAGAGTCAGAGCTTCAAGCATGTCCATCCCCCAGATGGTGCACGTCACACTCATTATGTACGTATATACCCATCTCCTCCTCCCCCCTCCCATCTGCCTGACTCCCAATAAATATTATTCCTATATGTCCACTTGGGTGTTAATCGGTTCATACCAATTTGCTGGTGAGTACGTGTGGTGCTTATTTTTCCATTCTTGGGATACTTCACTTAGTAGAATGGGTTCCAGCTTTATCCAGGAAAATACAAGAGGTCCTGTATCACCATTGTTTCTTATAGCTGAATAGTACTCCATGGTATACATATACCACATTTTATTAATTCACTCATGTATTGATGGACGAGCACTTGTTTCCACATCTTTTCAATTGTGAATTGTGCTGCTATAAACATTTGAGTGCAGATGTCTTTTTTGTAGAGTGTCTTTTGTTCTTTTGGGTAGATGCCCAGTAATGGGATTGCTGGAACAAATGGTAGATCTACTTGTATCGCTGTAAGGTATCTCCATATTGCTTTCCACAGAGGTTGCACTAATTTGCAGTCCCACCAGCAGTGTAGGAGAGTATTCCCATCTGTCAGCATCCAAGCCTACATTTATTGTTTTGGGACTTTTAGATAAAGGCCATTCTCGCTGGAGATAAGTGATATCTCATTGTGGTTTTGATTTGCATTTCCTTGATGATTAGAGATGTGGAGCATTTTTTCATATGCTTGTTACCCATTATTTTGTCTTCTTTTGAAAAGTTTCTGTTATGTCCTTTGCCCACTTTTTGATAGGGTTGTTTAATTTTTCCTTGCTGATTTTCCTGAATTCCAAATAGATTCTAGTTATCAGTCCTTTATCAAATGTGTAGCTTGCAAAATATTTCTCCCATTCTGTAGGTTGTCTGTTTGCTGTCATGACTATATCTTTGTCTGTGCAGAAGCTTTTTAATTTGATCAGGTTCCATTTATTTATTTTTGTTGTTGTGTGATTACCTTTGGGTCTTCTTCATAAAGTCTTTGCCTAGGCCAATGTCTAAAAGAGTATTTCCAACGCTTTCCTCTAGAATTATAACAGTTTCACACCTTAAGTTTAAGTCTGTTACCCAGCATGAGTTGACTTTTGTGAGAGGTGTGGATCCTGTTTCAGTCTTCTACATGTCGCTATCCAGTTTTCCCAGCACCACTTATTGAATAAGGATTATTTTCCCCAGTGTATGTTTTTGTCTGCTTTGTCAAAGATTAGATGGCTATATGATGATGATTCTATATCTGGGTTCTCTGTTCTATTCCACTGGCCAATGTCCCTGTTCTTGTGTGATTCCAAGGTGTTTTAATTACTATAGCCTTGTAGTATAGTTTGAAGTCTGGTAAATTGATACCTCCCATTTTGTTTTTATTGTCTAGGATTGCTTTTGGTATACAGGGTCTTCTCTGGTTCCATACGAAGCATAAAATTATTTTTTCTATATCTGTGAAAAATGATGTTGGTATTTTAATAGGGATTGTGTTGAATCTGTAGATCACTTTAGGTAGTATAGACATTTTAACAATGTTGATTCTGCTGACCCACAAGCATGGTATGGTTTTCTACCTGTTTACGTCCTCTGATATTTCCTTCCTCAGTGTTTCATAGCTCTCCCTAGAGAGGTCTTTTACCTCCTTAGTTAAATATATTCCTAGGTACTTTATTTTCTTTGTTGCTATTGTGAAGGGTATTGAGTCTTTGATTCTCTATTTGAGAGTCTTTGACTCTCTATTTTGGGTCTCTATTTGACTGTTGTTGACATATGTGAATGCCTCTGATTTGTGTGTATTGATTTTGTATCCTGACACTTTACTGAATTAATTTATCAATTCAAGGAGTCTCTTGGTTGAATTATTTGGGTTTTCTAGATATAATATTATATCATAAGCAAAGAGTGAGAATTTGATCTCTTCTGCCCCCATTTGACACCCTTAATTCCACTCTCATGTCTAATTGCTATAGCAAGGACTTCCAGCACTATGTTGAATAAAAGTGTAGATAGTGGGCAACCTTGTCTTCTTCCAGTTCTAAGTGGGAATGCTTTCACTTTTTCCCCATTCAGTATGATGTTGGCTGTGGGTTTGTCATATATGGCTTTTTTGGTATCATTTTAGGTAAAATATGGTGTCGTTTTTAGGTAAGCCCTGCTATGCCTACTTTGTTAAGCAATCTTATCATAAAAGGATGTTGAATTTTGTCAAATGCTTTTTCTCCATCTATTGAGAGGATCATATGGTCTTTGTTTTTGCTTCTGTTTATGTGGTGAATTACATTTATAGATTTGTGTATGTTGAACCATCCCTGTATCTCTGGGATAAAGCCCATTTGGTCATGATGGATTATTTTCTTGATAAGCACCTGGATTTTTTTAGCTAGGGTTTTCTAGAGTATTTTTGCACCTATACTCATAACGGATATTGGTCCATAGTTTTCTTTTTTAGTTGCGTCCTTTCCTGGTTTTGGTATCAGGGTTATGTTCGCTTCATAAAATGTGTTGGGGAGGCTTCCATCCTTCTAGATGTTGTGGAATAATTTCTGCAGAGTAAGCACCAGTTCTCCTTTGTAGGTGTGATAAAATTAGGGTGTGAAACCATCTGGTCTGGGACTTTTCTTTTTAGGAAGGTTTTTTATTGCTGTTTCAATTTCAGTACTTGATATTAGTCTTTTCAGCAATCCTGTTTCTTCCTAGTTGAGGTTAGGAAGGCTGTGTGTTTCTAAAAATTTGTCCATTTCCTCCACATTTTCCAGTTTGTGTGCATAAAGGTTTTTGTAGTATTCATATATCATATCTTGTATCTCCACGGCATCAATTGTAATGTCTCCATTTTTGTTCCTGAGAAGCTTATTAGATATTTTTCTTTTCTGTTTTTCATTGGTCTAGCCAAAGGCATGTCAATTTTGTTTATTATCTCAAAGAACCAACTTTTTGTTTTATTAATCTTCCATATAGTTTTCCTGTTGTCAATTTCATTTAGTTCTCATTTGACCTTTTTAATTTCACTTCTTCTGCTGGGTTTGGGGTCAGTCTGTTCTTCTTTTTCCAGCTCTTTGAGATGATTCATTAGGTTGTCTATTTGTGATCTTCCTGACTTTTGGATATAGGCATTTATGGAAATAAACTTTCCTCTCAGGACTGCTTTAGCTGTGTCCCACAGATTTTGATAACTTGTGTCTCCTTTCTCATTTAGTTCAAAGAATCTTTTGATTTCGATATTGATTTTCTCATTTATGAAGTAATTGTTCAGCAGAAGGTTGTTTAGTTTCCACAACTTTGTGTAGAAATGAGAATTTCTGTTAGGGTTGTTTTCTACTTTTATTCCACTGTGATCTGAGAAGACACATGGTATAATTTATATTTTTTTAAATTTTGAGAGATGCTTGTGTCTTAGGATATGATTGATCAATCTTAGAGAATGTTCCATGAGCTGATGCAAAGAACGTATATTCAGTGGTTTGGATGTAGAATGTCCTGTAAATGTCAGTCAGGCCCATTTGTTCTAGAGTTCTGTTTAAGTCTATTATTTCTTTGTTAATTTTCTGTTTGGAGGATCTGTTTTGTGCTGTCAGTGGGATGTTGAAGTCTCAAATATTATGGTGTTGCTGTTTATCATTTTGTTTAGATCAAGTAGAGTTTGCTTTATGAAACTGGGTGCACCTACATTGGGTGTATACATATTTAAAATTGTTATGTCTTCTTGTTGAACTGTACCCTTCACCCTTATATAGTGACCCTCTTTGTTTTTCATTACTTTTATTGATTTTAAAACTAAGTTATCTGAAATCAAAACCATCACACCAGCCATCTTTTGGCTTCCATTTGCTTGAAATATTGTTTTTTATCCCTTTACTTTTAGTCTAAATGCATCCTTGTAGGTTAGATGTGTTTCCTGAAGACAGCAGAAATTTGGCTTGTATTTTTGTATTCATTTGGCCAGCCTATGTCTCTTGATTGAGGAGTTCAAGCCATTCATATTTATTGAGAGAACTGACAGGTGGGGCAAATTTCTGTTCATTCTGTTGGGTTGAACTTCGTTATTTTGTTTTCTCTCTTGAGTCATTGTGGTATCTGGCCTTTGATCTTTAGCTTTTGGGTGGTTTTACATTCGTGTTTATTGTGCTGATCCATGTGTAACACTGTTTTGAGTACTTCTTGGAGGGCTGGTCTTGTCTTGGTGAATTCCCTCAGTCTTTGCTTATCTGACAATGTCTTTATTTCTCCTTCGTATAGAAAACATAGTTTTACGGGGAACAAGATTCTAGGCTGGGCATTATTCTGTTTCAGAAGAGTGAGAATGGAGCCCCAGTCTCCTCTTGCTTATAAGGTTTCAGTTGAGAAGTCTGGCATTATTTGAATGGGCTTTCCTTTGTATGTTACTTGTTTCTTTCACCTTACAGCACATAGAAGGGCCTCTTTAGTGGATGTTTTAGTCAGTCTGATCACTGCATGTTGTGGTGTCTTCCTGGTTGTATTGAATCTCCCAAGGGTCCTTTGAGCTTCTTGTACTTGGATATGTAGATTTTTAGCAAGGCCTGGGAAATTTTCCTCTATTATATCTTCAAATAGCTTATCCAACCCTTGTGTGTTTTCTTCTTCACCTTCAGGAATGCACATAATTCTCAAGTTAGGTTTCTTCATATAATCTCACATTTCTTGTAGGTTTTGCTCTTT